TGAGTGCGAGATAACGCAAGTGTGTCTAGGAAATCCAGCAAGTGCCAGCCTTGCCATCAGTAAGGGCTGAGAGTGGCATCGCTGGTCCTTGTCCCTTCCTATCACCTCACACCCCTGCCACCAGTACCATGTCATGACATGACTTTCCATGTCAGTTCCTCTTAGCTGTTCTGGGGCACATTTCCCTGCCTCCTATACATCTGCTCATTTCACAAGCAGAGAAGGAAGTCCAAGCTCAGGGCAGCTGACTTGACCAGGGTCTCACAGCTAGTGAGTGGCATTGCCAGAGGCCATGCTGTTTGCGGAGTGGGCTGTGCTGCAGGGCTCCACCAGCTCTGGAGGGGCTGGTGGATTTTCACAGGAAGGTATGCAGCTGTGCCCTCCATAGTTCAGGTGAAGTCAGTGGCTGATGTCTGTCCCCTTTATAGTAGGGCTCTCTAGAGGCAGTTCTGTGGGCCGGCCTCCTGACAAGTGCTTCATTTGTTACTGCTTTTCCGGAATGCATTTGCTTCCCGCTGTGGTTTTCTTAGTTGCATAAACTCTGGGCAGCCTGAGACAGCCTGCCCTGGGTGGAAGTCACAGCTGGCTGGCTCCATGATGCGTACTGGGGCCACATGGGGGCTCTGGGGCGCCTTCCCACAGCAGGACAGGTGGCAACCCTGATGGGCACACCCTTGGGGCTTTCGCAGGCTTAATTGGGAAAAGTGGTCAGCCCTGCTGGGACACGGGCAGGACGAGGAGCAGTGTGGACTGCATGGATGATTTGCTGCTCTATTTATTTTAATAATAACTCAAAATTTGAGTGATGTTTGTATTCAGAAGCCTCAGAGGTGGGCAGGGAAGGTGCTGTTTTCTCCATTTGCAGAGGAAGAAATGGATACCCACAGGCACAGTTGCTCTGCTTTGTTTCTAAGGGCAGCAGGCACAGGTACCAAGCGTGGAATGGGCCACAGTTTTGCTTGAAGCTTTTGCCCTGCCTCCCAATCAGCAAGGCCCTCCTGGTGGCCTGTGTGTCTTGGGCAAAGCAGGGCTGTGGAATGTGTACTTTGTGACTCGGGTGGCTCTTGGGGAGCAAACAGCAGTGCCCTTATGATGATCCTGAGCATAATGGTGTGTTCTCTGAGCCCTGGGACATTAGGCAGAGCAGGTACTGAGGAAGGGGGGTGTCACTGAAAGCAAGAGTTGTCTCAGATGTGCTCACAGGCCAAGGATCCTGAACACCAAATGATGCGGGCTGTGGATGGCAGGAGAGGCATTCTCAGCCCATGTGGAGGTCTGGGGCCAAAGCCTGCATGGTTGGTTTAGGCTGCTGATGGGCTGCGGGACTGCACTGAGAGTGATGGTGAGAGATGCCCCTCTCATCATTTTCCCTTTCTTTTGGGACATTCCTTCTTCTGGAGAGACGGGACAGTGTGGCTGTGAGAGGAGTGTGGCGGGGCGGGCAGGAGCAGCAGAGATGGGCCTGTGGGTCTCATGGGCTTCTCTCCTGTGATCTCCCTGGGTTCTGCTCCTTGGAAACTGGTTGCCCTGCAGGGTTCCAGGAAGGAGAGAGGAGAGTCATGATGTTGCTGCTCTGCCCTCCTTCCTTCCCTGTCCAGAGTCCCAGGGTTTCCAAATGTGGGACAAAGAGGGAAAACTTATGAGATCAAGGGAAAGAAAATACTTAAAAAATTGGAGCAGAGTAGAGATGAGCTAATGACCCCAGAGGGTTGTTTAGATATGGAAGAGTAACTTTAAATGACCATAACGCTTTTTTAAATTGTAAATTATCGATGTTTAAATGTGATAACAGAAAAGAAAGAAGGGAAGAAAGGAAAAAAAAGGAAAAGAGAGAGAAATCAGTGGATTGCCTTTGACTTCAGATTTTTAAACACTGTTCATTACTGACCTTTTACAGGCACACGGTGGCTAACACTGCAGCGAGTGGCCAATTCCTAACCCTGTGTGCTGTCTGTTGGGCCCTACCAAGATCACCCACCGTGAGGCTCTGTGGTCAGGATTCTCTGCTGGTGACAAGGAGGGCCTAGAGGGGTGTGGGGATGAGATGAGGCTGGGGCACTGCTCTGTGTACCTCCAGAGACACCCCTGCTTCAGCCCGCCTCACCTGATCACAGATAAGCTCTGCAGAAGGGCGCTGGTAACGCGGTCCCTTTTCTGCAGGGACTGGCTTGCTTCCTTCCTCAGAACAGTTCAGCAAGTCTGTGTGTGAGTCTTGGGAAGCTCTGCCTTTTGATTTCTCCATAATGCAACAATATGCTTCTCTCCCACGTCTTTTCATTTCCTTCATGGGATACATAGACTTCTGACACTTTAGGTGTTCATTTAGTCACTGCTCCATATTTTGGGAGTGGACAGGCACACTTCTGAGCTTTGAGAATCCAGCAGTGCACACAACTGACCCAGGTGCTGTCTGCTGTGAGCTTAGACTTCAGTCCAGGAGACCAAGGGCAAACATGTCAGAAAACCTGCCAGAGGGCTGATCAGTACATTGGAGAAAATGAAGTTGAGCAAGGGAAATGGGGTCTGTGCCTGGGAGGAAGTCTCCAGGAAAAGGGCCTTGCCCAGCAGTAACACTCAGGCAGAGATCTGGACGTGTGGTGTGGGGTCCATGTGGACATGTGGGGACAGCAGTGCAGGCTAGAAAAAGTCTCTAAGTTGACCCTGATAGAGCTGTCAGGAAGAGCAGCCTCGCAGTAACACTGTCTGTGACGTGAAGGCATTGCTCTGGCTACTGTGTGACGGCCACACTGTAGGGGCCCTGTGCAGGCAGAGGCCAGCCGGGTGACAAAGGTCCTGGAGAAGGAAGACCGGGCTTGGATTAAGGTTGAGGAGGGAGGGGGCAATGGGCAAATTCAGGATTTGTTTGGGAGGAGGAGACATCAGAAAGTGCTAGTGGCTTGAACATGGGGTCTGAGGGAAAGGTAGCATTCAAGGATGGTTGAAAGGCTTTGGCAAGAGATGGAAGAGACTGAAAGGAGCACATAAGGCAGTGCAGGAACTGGAAGCAAGGAGCTTGTCTTTGGAAGTGTGAGACATCTACATGAGGTAACTCCTGAATGGTTGGGCTGTGATCTAGATTTCAGAAAGGAAGTCTAACTAGAGAAGCCCTTTGGGGCTATCAGTGTACAGTGGTATTTAGGGTCACAGGGCCAAGGCACACCCCTACAGACCTAGTATAGGTACTAGAAGATAAAGATGAATCTTGAGAACTGAACTGTGTTTATATGTCTAGGGGAAGTGTTAGCAAACTTTTTCTTAAGGAGTCAGACAGTGAATACTTCAGGCTTTGCAGGCTGCATGATCTTTGCTGCAACTGCTCATCTTTGCCATGTGAACACCAAATCAGTCACAGATAATATGTAAATGAAGGAGCATAGCTGTGATCTAATCAAACTTTATAAACCAGCCACCTGGCCTATGGACCAAAGATTGCTGACTTTGGGTCTAGGACATTGAAGATGAACCACTGAAGGGTTCTGTTTTAGTTAGTCTTTTTTTTTTTTGTTTTCCTTTGCCAAAAATGCCTGAGATTGTTGACTTAAGGGAGAAAAGGTTTATTTGGGCTTATAGTTTTAGAGGTTTTTAGCTCATGGTCAGCAGGCTCCATCTCTCTTAGGGCTGTGATGAGACAGGAACAGCATAGCAAAAGGGTGTGGCAGAGGAGAGCTGCTCACCTCAGGTAGCCAGGAAGCAGTGAAAGAGGAGACAGCCAGCATGAGAGGAAGTCACTCCCCCAGGAGGCTCCTTCCTTCGGGTGGGCCTTGCCTTCTCACAGCCTGTTTAGCTGGGAGCTCTCAATGCTTTAGTCCGCTGATAGGGTCAGTGTTCCTGATCCAATCACTTCCGTAGTCTCACCTCTGAGCTAAGACACCTGGGGTCAAGCCTTTACTACATTAGTCCCTTGGAGTTACTTCATATTTAAACCAGAGCAGGCTCTGGGAAGGGGCTACTTTTTACACAGGGGTCCAAGCAAGACAGAACGTTGCCTCAGAAACTAAAGAGTGTTTTTTCAGAAGGAACCAGTGATGAGCTGGGCCAGATACCTCTGTATCTGGAGATGAGGTGTGAAAACTTAAGGTGAGCACCAAGGTGGCTGATGGTGAGGTGAGCTGGCAGCTGGGGAGAGCCTCACTGAGGTGGGTCACCGGGAGGAGTTGGTGATCACTCAGGTGAACAGCTCCAGGATGAGTGTTGTTGTAAAGGATGCAAAGAAATGAAATGCTAACTGGAGGAGTATGCAGGGTCAAACTCAGTGTTTTTCCAACAAAAATGGGAAGAATAACAATGCTATTGGGCACAAGATGGCGCAGGTACAGGCGGTGAGGTGGGTGGGGCCTTTGTGGGCTCCAGGACAGAGGCAGCAGGAAAAAGCAGCTGTTGGCTGAAGAGGTTCTAGGTGTGGATCAGGGTAGGGACTCCTCTGAGGTGCTTCATTTTTTGAGTGACATAGAGAATAAGATCAAGAGGCTCCAAAACAAAAGGGGGAAGAACCTGGGCCCAGCAGGACATGTGCCCCCCAAACAAAAGGGAGAGGGTTGGAGATGACAGCAGAGAGATTTCTGACTCTCTAAATCAAAATTAAAAGGCTTCTGCCATTGCTTTCACTGGAGCTTTTCACTGAAAAGGGGGCCCCATAAATTCTGAAGAGTTGTGACTGAATTAATAAGGCCAAAATGTGGGCATGGATGGAGAGGAACAAAATGGTTTTGGAGGATCCTGCAGGTCTGGACACCTACCAAGGAGGATTTTGTGGAAGGGAATTTTAAGAAACAGAACTATATTGCTAGGGTTACTAATGGTCTATCTAGAACTCAGACAGGAGAGAGAGCTACACAGCCCAACCGCCAGGCTTGGGGGATCTAAGGGAGATGCACTGTACTCAGTTTTCCCCCTAAAGCATTTTAAAGAGAAATCTTCCTATGAGACAAGAGGTAATAAAATGAAGGTTGTCTTTTCTAATTTTACCGTAAGAAATTATCTCAGGCAGAGAAGTAACTCACCCCAGGTGAGGGCAGAAGGCTGAAGAGTGGCCTGGGTTTGTGCCGTCTTTTTGCTAACATCAAGGAGGCAGGGAGAAGAAGAGACCTGGGAGAAGGGAAATGCTGGTGTGAGCTATGAGGAAACAGCATATTCCTTTATTCTACTTACATGTCTGCAGGGAAGAAAAAGGAAAATCAGGAGAAAGTAGGATTATAGGGAAGGAGAATGACATAGGGGCTTTGGAAAAGAGACCCAGCAAAGACCATGGAGCCAGCAGGAAACTAGCCTGGGCCTTTGTTCAGGGACTGCAGTGTCCACCACAAGGTGGGAAGTGCAGGTGTGTGTGGGAGCATAGTGTCGCTCAGGGGAGCCCCAGAAGGGCAACAGGAGACCCCACTTATGCCAGTGTGCTGTGAACATGGCCAGCAAGAGGGCTGGCCTCAGGTGGACCTGGGGATGGATGGACATGTGATTGTTACTAGATGCACCAGTGTGTGGAGAATTCTTCTTAGAGCCATCATGTGCTCACTCAGGGACTAGGGTTGTTGCAGTAGTGATATAAGCAATAAGGAGTTTGTGGCTCAGGACTGAGCAGTGGGGAAGACTCACCCATCTTCTCTTCCAATCTTGTTCCTGGGGTTCTTTTTGAGATAAATACAGAACAGGGAAGCACAGACATGTAGAGTTTATGTAACTCATGGCAGTTTCACAGACCTGGTTCAGCTGTCTGAATGGCTGCTCCAAACCTCAGTTTCCCAGCTCTAAAACACCTGCTATCTGTCTCAGAGGTTTGTTGTACTGATTACATGGAATTAGATTGGAAATATTCAGCATATTGTCTAAAATATATAGTGTTCAAAGGCCTGCAGTATGAAAGGTTATGGAGGTGACAGGGTGAGCCAGGCTTGTAGCGGGTCATGGACTACATGCAGTTGTGCTAGGGAGATACTAGAATGGTTAAAAATAGGATAAAATACCTGTTTTGGATTCTAAGCCCAGGAATGTCCTCCCAAATATTTCTAGTTAAGAATTTTGCATTCTTTGGAAGAAAGACAATGGAAAGGAACAAAGTAAGGTTGCCAAATAGTATAGCACCTTCAAAAAAAATCCTGGGGAGGAAACTCTGAGAGCTTCAAGAACCATAATATTGAGAGAGATTTAAAGGGGACCAAAAATCCCTGCAATGCTTAGAACAGCAGGAACATAGATTTCTCATACTAATCAAGTGATTTGTAGGAAAAATCTTATCCATCTCTCTAACCTGAGCTGAATCAAGCAAATGATTGCTCCAAGTTGCAGAGTGAGCTGTGAAGCAGTCACAGAGCTGGTTTACGATCCTGCGGAACTTTTCTGCAGCACAAATTCCTGGGCAAGCAGGTGACTTTAAAACATTGATGCCCTCATCCCTGGACTGCTTCCCTGGTCTGTGCAGGGTTCTGTGGGGCTCTGACCAGACCAGCTCTGGGCTTCTGGGACGCCCCTCCTCTGAGATGCTTTTGCTCCCTGAGGTGGAGGGAGTGTGGCACATTTCCTCTGGCCTCTGAGGAGCAGCTGTGATGGACAGTTGCTGGCCTGCTGATGCACTTAAGCATTGTGTTGTCACAGAGCTGTCTGGTCCTGAGTTATTTCCATTTCTGCATGAAGAGAACACATTGACTTCTCGCTCACTCTCCTGTTAGTGAAGGAGTGGATGTGCTGGTAGAATGAGCCCTTGTGAGAGCTGTTTTTCCAAAACTGTTTTTCTGAACTGTCCTGCACTGTTAGGCTTCCTACCACCTCTCCCAAGGATCATTTCTTTGACTTAACTGATATTTCCCAGTCCAGGTTTACACAAATTTCAGGACACTTTGCGCACTCTCCATAGGGGTGGGGTGAAGCTAGTTTAAAGCCTTTTCCATGTGTAGGTAAGGCACTGTGTCATTGTTAAGGGTTACAGGGAGATGGTGGCTGGGTTGGGCTGAGCCTGGGAAGAGTGAGAGGATGATGTGTGAATCCTGGCACAGTGCAGATGTCAAAACATCCACAGTGCCAGGCTTGTTTTTGTTTTTTTTTTTTTTTTTTTTTTTTTTTTTTTTTTTTTTTTCTCCGGTACCGGGAACCGAACTCACGACCTTGCGCTTGCCAGGCAAGCGCTTTTGCCGCTGAGCTAAATCCCCAGCCCCGCCAGGCTTGTTTTTGTACACAGGAAAATAAGTTTAGTCAGAAGGAAGAGAAACTACCACAGCTAAAAATACATGGGAAGGGGTTGGACTCCCTGAGCTGTCAGCATAGAACCATAGTCACGTGGCATCAGGCCTGGGGTTCCAGCTTTGGTTGTGTGACCCTGGTTGAGTCACTGTTGGGCATTTATTTTGGCTCTGAGGATGAAGATGAGACTTAGGAGCAGCATCGGGAAGATGTGTGGTGGGTGGCAAAGTGAGGGATTCAAGTCAAGCCCTATCACCAGCAATTCCAGTGATAGCAATCATAGAGGTGCTAATTAAAGTGGAAATGAGGTTTCCAGCTGTAACACTGTTGAAGGTTAAAAATGACATTGCTTGGTGTCAGGGAGAGTCAGTAGGATGGTAAAATGTCCCGTTCATGGGATTGTGATTGGTGCAGTCTTTCTGGAAAGCGTGGCTTTTGAGGATTTCTGTACCTTTTGATTTATTTTTAGGATTCTATTCTCAGGAAATAATCAGAAATATGAGTGCACAGTATCATTCACTGTGGTGCTATGATCTTCTTGGAAAACTGGATTCTACTTGCCCCCACTGTAGGGATTATGTAAAATAAATTATGATACATGTAGTACAGTAGTTGGCCACCATATAAAGTTACTTGAAGAATGCTAATGACATGAGACAATGATTATGAAGTTATAAGTGAAATATTCTCTCCACTGGTTAAAGGAATAGATGTGTATTTCCAAAAAGTGAATAACATAGGCCAAAATGCAAATAGAGCTTCATTCTGGATGGTGAGATTATGGGTAATTTTTATTTCATTCTTTATATTTTTCTTTCAGCTTCCAAATATTTTATAGTGTGCCTTTATTGATTTTTGTAACACAAATAATAAACATTATACAAAGACAGTGAAATCCAGTAGCATCTGGCTGGGCTGGGTCTTTGTCCTGTTCAGGAGAATGAGTGCATATCTGTGGGTCAGCCTGCCGAGGCTTCCCTGCAAGCCTGGCTTCATGTGGACTCGCGTCTAACTCCTTCCTGACCTGCGTGGAAGGAACAAACATTTTGGGAATAGAATCTAACACTGTGGAATGAAGACACAGATGTGGGTATGTTTTGGAGATGGAGCTGAGCAAGTGGACAGCCTGCTCCCGTTTGCCCCCTGCCCTGAAATCATTCCCTTCCTGAACCCACAGACAAGCTAGACGGCCCACATGCTCGTCACTATCAAAGCCACAGCCAGTCTGAAAACCTTGCTCATTCTCCTTCTGATTGTCACTAGGAAGCCAGAAAGAGGTTTCGCAGAAACGGAAAAGCAGGGCTGCCAACACTGGGGGCTAGAGATGCAGGATGATGTGGGAAAACACTCAGCAAAGACAGGGCGTGGATATGGTGTCGCCAGGGAAATAGCCCTCCCAAGCAGGCTGCATCCAGATGCGCCTCACCTGCAGCATCTGTGTGTGAGGGGCAGCCCTGAGGCTGTGCTTGGAACCCTGTGGTATGTTGCAGTAGGGATGGGCAGGCTGGCCAGCAGAGGCAGCTGCTGTAGGTAACGCATGTCTTTGAGGAAGTGTATCCTGCTGGGTCTGAGTCTGTGTGCTGGGCCTCCTTTGTTGAATAAAGTAGAGGGTTTGACCTTTGCATAGCCTATTCCTTTTTTAGGTTGGACTGTTTTGTCCTGATATATCTGTTTTCAAAATCTGGGTTTTTATTTTAAATGTATTGCTTTTGCTTAAAGTAGGGCACCCTTGGTTTATGTCAGCAAAATATTGTAGAAATGGTGATTTTCCCTCCTTTTAGTGTAGCGGTTTGGAGAGTGCTGGTGGCATGCTCCAGTTCAGAGGGACTGCCTGGCTACCAGCCCCAGAAGCTGGTGTGTGCACTCTGCCATCCGGTGACCATTCATTTACCCACTTGAGAACTTGCTTCAAACTTGGAGGCACAATGGATACTGTGTTATTCTTCTGTTACAGTGGGTGCCAGAGTGAGGTTCTCTGAGGGCCTCAGAGGCATGAAATTATGTTTAGCAAATGTAAATCGCAACTTTTGGGAAGATTCAGATTTCCACTGTGGAGTATGTTGTGACTTGAGCTCTTCCTGTCCCTTTGGAATGCGCCCAGATGTTTTCTCTTTTTAAAGCTCTGACATGACCGTGGCCAGCTCTATAAATAGTACCCAACATCAGCTATCATGCTAGCATGATGTGGATTTTTTCTCCTGCCACCCACTGGAAATCTTGGGAGAAAATTCTCTTGCTGTCTCCTTTCTCCTCGTATCCCTTTCTCTCTCTTCTGCACAAACACAGAAGCACACATACAGACATATTTATAGTTAAATGGTTAAACATAGGTGAAGATTTTGAATGCACTCAAATCCATCTTTGTTTTTTCTCTTTTTGGGAATTAGGTAAACTCTCAATGGCAACAGAAAAAAGAAAGAATTTCATTGGATTTCTACTGCGTCTAGGCACAGTGCTGAATTACACTAGTTCTTATCATCAAAACCCACAGTTCAGCGAGAGGGCAGCTGTCTTAGTTACTTTCTCTTTGCTGGGACAAAATACGCAACACCCACAAGTTAAAGGAGTGAAGGTTTATTTTAGCTGACAGGTTGAAAAGGTTTTCATTCATAGTTGACTGGTTCCGAGAAAGGGGGCATAGCAGGGGAAAAACAGTCCATGGCAGGGCAGACAGTAAGCAGTGAGCTACCAATGGAGGAGGAATACATATACTCCTTCCAGGCCACACCCACAGTAACCCAACTCTTCCCACCAGGTTACCAGTCCTCACCTTCCAATATCACACCCAACTCTAAACCCATCAGTGGATTAATCTGGTATCATACACCCATGATCCAGTCACTTCCCAAAAGTCCTGCCTATGAGTGCAAGAGGCTTTGGGGGGACATCTAGATATAAGCCACGAAGCAGCTTTACCAGCAACTAGTCATGCCAGGCCTGTTGGGGATAAAGTGTGAAGAGATACCATTCCCATGTTCCTGGGGCTATTAGTTATGGCTGTAGAGAAGATCTTTAGTGCCTAGGTTAGTGGTGAGGCCAGGGGAATGAGGCATACAACCTGCCTAGCTTACACATGGAGATGTACCATCTCATAGTTCTGCAGGTGGAAGTCCAAGACTGAGGTGTCTACAGGTTGATTCCTGTTGAGTGCTGAGGGGAGGATCTGTTGGCTCTCTCCTCAGCCTGTAGGTGGCCATCTTCCCCCTGTGTTTTTTCATATCCTCTTCCCTCTGTCTATCTCTGTCACCATGACTAAAATTTCCCCTTCTACAAGGACATGGGTCAGGTCATGTTGAATTACACCCCCCCCCCAAAGATCTATTCATAGTAATTTGATTCCTCTCTCAAGATGAAACATTACCTCCAAACAAACTCACATTCTGGAGCACTAGAAGTTGGGGCTCCAACTTGTAAATTCTTTTTTTTTGTTTGTTTGTTTTTTTCCGGTACCGGGAACCGAACTCACGACCTTGCGCTTGCCAGGCAGGCGCTTTTGCCGCTGAGCTAAATCCCCAGCCCTCCAACTTGTAAATTCTGAGAGGCACACAATTCAGCCTGTGATAGTAGTCTTGGGACTTTTACCTCTGAGAAGAACTTTCCTTGAACTATCCCAGATTGCCAGATTCATAGAGTTTCTCCTCCCAACTAAGGAGTAAATTTTGATAATTCACATCGCTTTCAAATTTAATTCTGCTAAATCCACCTCTCTCATCATAGTGAGACTCATCTTCTGTGGAGCAATTGGAGAATAGTCAGTCACCACCCCTGGCCAGGTGGTTCAGTAGCTGCTTCAAGGACACCACACATCCGTCTTCCTTTCTGCTCACATCTTGGCCCCCTGTGGTAGAGGATTCTTCCTGCTCTGCATCAGTGATCAGTCTGCAGTTGCAAGGAAAGTTGCAAAGGAGGTCCTGCCCTGTCCAGATAGAGGCACAGGAGGGCAGATCAATGGTCCCTGCAGTCCCTGGCCACCAGATCATCCATGGACACCAGGCTGTTCTGAGAAAGAGGCCCCTAGCTACCTATAAGTTCCCACCTGGTCTTGGCTGTTCTGCCACTCTGCACCCCTTCAGGCCTTGAAGATTCGACCCCCTGACAGCACTTCCCATAGTTTTTCATAACTTGGAACCCCCATGCAATAACTAGCACATTCATTGCCACAAGGCTGGTGGCCCTGTGCTGACATCTGGTTCTTTTCAGATATGTGCTCATTCATTCTTTTTTATCCAGTTAGCAGTAAGCTCCCACTGTCTGTATTGTTTCTAACTCTTTAAAGCACATTCCCTTATCCTAAACAACATAAGTT